AATACAACCTCACACACTAATAGAGCATATGGGAAATATGCATGTGTGAACCATATACACATATATCAATAACATCTATGTGTGTGTGTGAGCCATCCAACGAAATATTTAACATTTCCCAACAAATATCAACCCGGGGTGACAAACAACTTAATTAAGTTGTAAATTTTATTGACAGAATAGCAAAAACATGGCTACACACTAAAATCGAGATGAAGAGTGTCAAAAGCGTATTCCAAGTGCCTGAGTGCAAGGACGGAAGCAGGAACAGCAAGCAGTTCCATATCCAGTGGGTTGGAAACCATCTTCCTTGACACATTTTATATACAACCTCAATTGTCGCCTCCCTGTGCTGGCAATATTAAAATGATCTGCAAACAACATTTTTTGCCTTGCCATCTCCCTCTTCCCACATTTGGAAGAATTCCCTTTAATTGCTAATTGCCCTGCCGTGGGGCATCGTATCGACAAAACAAGTGACAAAGTGTATCTATGTGGAAATAAACTTTAACACATTCAAAGTGCCTCTGGCAGCTTGGAACTGTTTTTCAAAATGAAAAAACGCAATAACTACAAATTCATTTAATAGTCCGGATGTTTAAAATGAATTTAGTACTCCTTTAGCAATGCCAAGCCCCCGTTGCTTTTTCTCAGCTCTATGAGCGGGTGTTGGTTGGTTGGTGCGTGGGATCTGTCATTTATTTATCGTTTAACTTCATTGGCTGCTATGACATTTGTCATTGGAGTTCTACACGAACGAAGAGCCAGTGTGACAAGTTTAAAGATTGCATTGTCAGCCGACAAAAAGTGTTTCAAGGCCTTGGGCGTTTTATGTTGAAATAGCTGAACAAACTTAAATACAAGTTGAATATTTTAATACCATTATGACATTTTTCGTAACACAAAATAATACTTTATGACGTATTTTGTGATATGCCAAAATTGAGTTGAGTTGTGTACCAGGTGTTTTCAGTGAACTTAAAATAATATTAAATATTTTTATATGCGATGTTTGAGTAAAATCTGCTTTATTTCAGTAAAAAATCGAATATACAGGTTGAGATAAAAAAAAACTACAACAAAATCAAACCCCATAATTTTTACATTTGTTTTTTCAATTTTATTGAATGAAAGCAAAAAATGTCGGAAATATCATCAAATTTTAGAATAAGTTTAGATTTGGTCGAATTGGTCACCTTTGGCCCGAATTTTGCTCTGCGATATTTTGGCACATTCCCGCGAATCGCTTGCTTGAGGTCATCGACACTTTGTTATTTTTTAGTCCCAACCTTGCTTTCAAAAATACTCCAGACCCAATAGTTCAACGGATTGGTCTCCGGAGGTTTTGGTGGTCAATGTGCACTGGAAATGAACAAGGAACCTCATTGTAAGTTCTTGCACTTTTTAGATTTTCAATGGCTTTACCCCGAACTCATTTTTCAATATTCGCCGAATGGAATATTGCGATATGTTCAGCTCACGAGCCATTTTTCTGTCACTGCGACGCGGGTTTCGATCATGTCGCTTCTTTACTATTCGAACCATTTCTGCTAATGTTTCTGTTGTCTTCCGTCCACTTCCTTGACGTCCAGCTACGATACCAGCATCACGGTAACGAGCGATGGTACGAGACACAAAAGAGTTATTCACATTTAAATGCTGGAGTGCTCTAACTCTATAGCCACTTGTGGTTTCCAGCCAAATATAAAGAAATAACACTATCACGCTTGAATTCCGAATTCACGAATAACTTTTTTCTGGCAAATTCTCACAAAAATGCTTTTGGTCTCTGTTTTGGGCTGTCATTGGAATAATTTTAAAAACTGCTGCCGGACGAGTGGCTTAGAAATGACAGCAGTCTGAAGTTGGTTGCAGTTTTTTTTCTCACCCTGTATATTCTTATATGTCTATTATCTATCTCTCAATCAGTTCAAAATGTTTCCTTTTTAGAGATTACCGAGGAGGATATTATTAAAACCATTGGACAATGGACTACATTAAATTTTTCTGTCTAAAACTATAAGCCCGAGAAACCGACAGTGAACACATTTCAGAATTCCAATTCCCAATACCCAACGGCATATTTTATCACATCCATATTAAAATTCAGGATTTCAGCTCTATGCCTTCACTCTACACCAAATTAAATAGCATTTCCTTCTTTTCGTCAGGTTACAGTACGCATATCCAAAACCAGTTCTTTCCCTCAACCACGGACACCAACAGTGACATCCATATCGAATTTCAGGATTTCAGCTCTATTCCTACATCCAATGCAAAATTTTGTACAATTTAGTACTTTTCCTAGAATTGTGGTAAACATTTCCAAAACCACCTCCATATCTCAATTTCAGACCCAACGGAGACCTCAATATCAAATTTGAGGATTCCATACCTTTTCTTTAACCAATACCAAATTTAGTACCACCTCCATGTCTTAACCACAGAAATTAACAGTAACATCTATATCAAGTATCAGGATTTCTGTTCTATTTCATCGCCTAATACAAAATTTGTAACTATTTTGTATTTTTCGTATAATTATGGTACCCATTTACAAAACCACCTTCATATCTCAATTCCAGATGTCAACAGAGAACTCAATATCAAATTTGAGAATTCCAGCTCTATTTCTTCACCCAATACCCAATTTAGTACCATTTGTACAAATATAGGACGTGTTTCCAAAACAACATCCATGTCTTAACCAGAGACACCAATAGTGACATCTATATCGAATTTCAGGATTTCAACTCTATTCCTACACCCAATGCAAAATGTAGTACTTTTCTAGAATTGTAGTACACATTCCCAAAACCAATTCCATATCTCAATTCCAGATACCAACACAGACTTTAATATCAAATTTGAGGATTCCAGGCCAAGCCCTTCACCCAATACCAAATTTAGTACCATTTGGTATTTTTCGTAAATTTTTTAGGGCGCATTTTTTAATTCATCGCCATATCTCAGACACAGATACCATCACTAATATAAATATCAGATTTCAGAGTTTGATATCTTTCTCTTCATCCATTACCAAATATCCTACCATTCTGTACTTTTCGTACAGTTATGGAACACACTTCCGGAACCATCTTCGTATTTCCAGCCAACACATGAACAGTGACCCTAGTATCAAATTTCTGATTAAAATCACTATATGTTCACCCAATACCAAATTGTAGCAAATATAGTACTAGTCAGTACTTTTTGTGCACTGTAGTACTCATTTCCAAAACCATATCTTTATCACAAATCTACCACCAAATGCCAGCTTTATCCGTTCAACCAATACCAAATCGTTAAAAAATATTACTGTTTAGCACTTTTTATGCGCTTGTAGTACCTATTTGCAAAACCACCACTTTATCACAAATTTACCCCCAACAGGGAGCCCAATACAAAATTTCAAAATTCCACCTTCATCCATTCACGATAAACCAAATTGTTCCGAATTTAGTACCATTTAGTACAGTTCACACATTTAGAGAATATTTCCAAAACCACCTTCAATTATCGAACTTACACACACACCTTCAAGTGTTTAGTTCTATCCGTTCACATAATACCAAATGGTACCATTTTAGAACTTTTCGAAACCTTCAAGTTCAAATATCAACAAACCCTTTGGTACAGCTTTTTTGCATTCCATCGGTGACTCTCATTTTTTGTAGATTTAAGTACATTTCGTACCGTTTTAGTACGAATTTCCAAAAACCCAGCCTTAGCATTGCAGATTCTAGTTTCTTTCATTTCGTCTGGACGTTGATTCTCGGTCAAATTTCATTATTTCAGATTTCGGCCCTTTGTTGAAAGGTACTTATAGTGCCGATTTGTCTTCAATTTGATTTAAATATTTCGATTTGCAAAGATTCAATTAAGTTAGATAGTCTTTATGATTCGTTTAAGGTTCATGTTTTTTTCGAATATTTTTTAATTTTTGTGGGGGAGGTAAAGCAATATGGTCCATCTTTGCCCTTTACATGGTGTTGGCAGAAATATCAGTATTCCAAATATGTATTCATTTCACCTTTCATAAAAGTTATGTTTATTTAATATTTCCGCACTTTTGGGAGAATGTATTAGATGGGTTGGGCTAATATTGTCCATATTTCAACCTAACCCAGATTTGTTCAAAGTGTTAACATGTGTCAAGTCTGAACAAAATCGAATACTCCATTCGCATTCTAAATTTTTATAAATTTGATTTTTTACAATTTGAAAAGGCCGAATTTGTCGATATTAGCCATCTTCAAACTTGATATAAATTTTACAAAAATATTAGGATGTCCAAAGTTTGTACCGAAGTGGGTACTCTCCTTGAGATTTATTGTACGTCATATCAAATGATATATCTTCCTAAAGCCCTACAACTCTAAAGGGTATAAAAATATTTTCTATGCTTGAGCTTAAAAGCTGGACCGATAGCTATTTTATATCCCTCCAACGATATTAGACTTTTTATAGGTATTTGGACTAAAATTTCTAAACATCTGTGCAGAAAAGTATTGTGTTTTTTTTTTTTTTTTTTTTGAAAATTTCGAACTTTTGTGGGGGATGTACCAGAAGGAGTAGACCGATATTGCCCATCTCCGAACTCGATCTAAGTTTTAAATTAAATGTTACGATGTACCAAATTTGAACCAAATCGGATACTGCCTTCCAGAGTTATCGTGTGTACCAGTCAGAAATACGGACGGACGGACATCGCTAAATCGACTCCAAATATCCTGAAACGGATTTAGTCCAAGGAGATCTAGGGTCTAAAACCGTTATTTCGACTAGGCACGTTTTGACAGTATCAAATGATATATACCCCCTCTAGCCATATGGCTGGGGGTATAATTAACTTGCTTAAAATTCTAACCTTCTGGTGTATACGTACCGCCAATACTAATACGCTACTTTGTACGAAAAAATATTCATATGAAATATATTATATAATATATTAAATAATATTTAATTTAAACGTTTTCCTTAAGCTTTTTCTTACTTACCTCGACTATCTTTATAGAATCCTCATAACAAATATTGCTCCAAAGATTTTTTTCTGAAAAAAAAAATTAAAAATAAATAAATTAGCATAATCTCTAATGCAGAGAGTTAACAATGACGACACGTGTCGGCATCATCCATCAACAAAATTTGAATTTACTAATTACAGAACTGTAATTACAAATTAATATTCGGTAATTATAGTTCTAAGTTTACAAAAATCAGTCATGTCTAAAAACTCATTAATTAACTTAATTCAATTGCCAACAACAATCGTATTATGAGAACCAAAAAAAAAAAAAACTTTAATCATAAAAATTTGTGTGGCTTTGCAAAAATTCTTTCCAGCTAAGATCATCTGTCGTGAAATCAACCTGGGCACAAAGCAAGTGGCAGCGGCAAAAAGTTTAGACTCCATTCGAGTTATTTGTCATCAAAGATTTGTTCAGAGCTCTTGTTGGCGTAATTGTTGATGATTTTGATTAATTGACGTAATTTCAAGTGTCACGCCAGTGGCACATGCAGACAAACAAAAAGAGAGGGGGAGAGAGAAGTTGGCGAAAAATGCTATACCCTAAACGAACAATTCAATGCGATTCATTGACTTGAAGATGGATAAACCACTAAGCCATTAGAATTCAATTACGTATTTTTTGTTGTTGTTGTCTTACACACACACACTCACACACATATGATCATTGCATGCTCAGTTGTTAGCTAAAAGTGTAATGTGGCGGCAATTTTTAATAGAAGTAGAGGAAGTATTGTGCAACGAAAAAAATTACGATAATATTTATTTTTTTTTTGTTCGCCACTCATCGACATAGACAGACTAAAAAGAATGCACTGCTCAGAAAAAAAATTAAAAGCAGAAAAAAATATAATTACAAATGACAATTTAAGTTTCTTCAACTGTCAAAGTACTCGCCGTCCATTTTTATTAGACATTTGGTCGCAGTCAGTGATTTTCCACAAACCTCAAGTCATAGAAAATTAGGAAATCACTACTTTTCATAGATGGAAAGAAAAAGGAAGGCATATTCATCCACCTGCAGGGATTTTTCGTTGCCAATCTGAACTGCAGCATTGCGATTTCATTCATCTCTAGTGAGTGTCATTCACTCACGCTGCATGTTTGAGAGGGAGAGAGAGAAAAAACAATCATGCGAAATTAGAGTTTTTTTTGCGCACTGCCCAGGTACCTGCATTCTTTGGTGTCTGTGACAGCTGCAAAAGTGAACGTATGTCCGCTCTGCCGGCCCATTCCTCCGCCTGTCTGTCTGTCGGCCTGTCTGTGGTCATCATATACTCGGAAACAATTAGCAATGAAATGTGACTAAATTACTTTTTTAAATTACTTGTCGAATGGGTAAAGACAAAACACGAAAAGAGACGATAAAAACATTTGTGATATGAAACCACGGTGGGATAAAGGATTTCTTGTGATTACAATTTTTTTTGTTGAAGTTGCGTTTTCAGTAATTGAACAATTCAGAAACGAAAGAAAACCAGTGAGACTGATAACATATGCGATTTGCTCATTGTCACAATGGTAAAAAGTATCCATAATTTTTTCAATTTTTCTATTCATTAAAATTTCAAAATATAAAAGTATATTCAGTCAGTCAAAATTCCGAAAATCGGGAGATACCCAATATTTGGGCTACATAGAAAATACTGGACTTATAGGCGGGGAGAAATTCGATCCAGTGCGAACCCCTTACATCAAATTACAGGTTATTGTCTAAGAAATTGAGGCAGAGAGCACTTCATTGCCCCACTGAAAACAAACGTCGCTCAGAGGTAGAATTGTTCAGAATTAAATGACCTTCACAACACAGTGCAACGAAATAAAAAAAAAAAAAACTCAGTAGATTATGACAATAGAGCTAAACATATAAGACAAGTGTATTGACATTTTGAATGCTTACATCGCAAAGAAACTAAATAGAGAGGCAAATCACCCCTCTTCAATTTTTTTGAATTAAGATTTCTTGAAACCTTTGTATTCTTGACATGTCGTGCCTTCAGCAGTATTATTGATAACAAAACGAGGCCTATTATGAGCTGTTCTATGGAAATAGATTCCATTTTGAGCTCGTCTATGGAAATATAATCCATTTTGAGCTAGTCGATGGAAATAAAATTCATTTTAAACTTGTCTGTGGAAATAGAATCCATTTTGAGCCTGTTTATTGAAATGTAATGAATTTTGAGCTCGTCTCTAAAAAAATAATGAATTTTGAGCTCGTCTATGGAAATATAATCCATTCTGAGATCGCATATAAAAAATTCGTCCATTTTGAGCTCGTCTATGAAAATAGAACCCACTTTGAGCTCGTATATGAAAATATAATCCATTTTGACCTCGTCTGTGGAAGTACACCTCATGTTGAGCTGCGTATATGAAAACTCGATCCATCTTGAGATCGTCTATGGAAATGTAATCAATTTTGAGCTCGTCTCTAAAAAAGAATGCATTTTGAGCTCGTCTATGGAAATAGAATCCATTTTGAGCTCGAATATGAAAATTCATCCATTTTGAGCTCGTCTATGGAAATAGAATCCATTTTGAGTTTGTCTCTGAAAATAGAATGAATTTTGAGCTTGTTTATGGAAATAAAATCCAATTTGAACTAATTTGCAGCACTAGAATCCTTGTTGAGCTCATCTATAGAAATAGACTCCATGTTGAACTCATCAATTGAAATAGACTACTGTTGAGCTCGTCTATGGAATTGGACTCTTTGTTGAGCTCGTTTATAGAATTAGGCTCGTCTATAGAAATAGGCTCGTCTATAGAAATAGGCTCGTCTATAGAAATAAGCTCGTCTATAGAAATAGACTCGCCTATAGAAATAGGCAGGCCTATAGAAATAGTCTCCATGTTGAGCTCGTTTATTGAAATAGACTCCATGTTGGGCTCGTCTTTTGAAATAGACTCCATGTTGGGCTCGTCTCTTGGACTAGAGGCCATGTTGAGCTCATCTATTGATATAGACTTCAAATTGAGCTAGTCTATTGATATAGACTCCATGTTGAGCTTGTCTATTGAAATAAACTCCATATTGAGCTCGTCTATGGAAATATACTACTATTGAGCTCGTCTATAGAGTTGGACTCCATGTTGAGCTCATCTATTGAAATAGACTACATGTTGAGCACGTCTATGGAAAAAGACTTCATATTGAGCTCTTCTACGGGAATAGACTCCATGTTTTGCTCGTCCATTGAAATATAATGCATGTTGAGCTCGTCTATTGAAATAGACTCCATGTTGAGCTCATATATAGAAATAAACTCCCTATTGAGCACGTCTAAGGTTATAGACTCAATATTGAGCTCGTCTATTGAACTAGAGGTCATGTTGAGCTCGTCTATATAAATATACTCCATATTGAGCTCGTCTATTGAACTAGACACAATGTTGAGTTTGTATATTGAAATAGACTCCATATTGAGCTCGTATATTCAAATAGACTTCATTTCGAGCTCGTCTATAGAAATAGACTCCACGTTGAGCACGTTTATGGAAATAGACTCCATGTTGAGCTCATATATTGAAATAGACGCCATGTTGAACTCTTCTATTGAAATAGACGCCAGGTTGAGCTCGTGTATTGATATAGACTCCACGTTAAACTCTTCTATTTAAAAAGACTCCATGTTGAGCTCGTCTACTGAAAAAAACTCCATGTTGAGCTCATCTATTGAAATTCACTATGTGTTGAGCAGGTCTATTGAAATAGACGTCATGTTGAGTTCGTCTATTAAAACTGATTCCCTTTTGAGGTCGAATATGGAAATGAAAATCATGTTGAGCTCGTCTATGGAAATAGAATCCATTTTGAGCTCGTCTATGGCAATAGACTCTATTGAAAAACACTCCATGTCGAGCTCATCTATGGAAGTGGATTCCATGTTGAGCTCGTCTCTGGAAATATAATCCATTTTGAACTCGCCTATGGACATAGACTCCATGTTGAACTCGTCTATTGAAAGAGACGCCCTTGCAGCTCGTATTGAGAAGTCTTTGAGCTCGCCTGTCAAAAATCGATTTTCTTTCGCTTTCAGTTGGCACTCTTTTCCTCGTCGCTATTTCTAAGCTTCTAGATTATACAAATTGGTTTTCTTTTTTCAAATCGTCTATGGAAGATTGGAAGAATTTTATTTTAGGCTCGTCTATGGAAGTGGACTATCTCTGTTTCATTCGGTCTTTTTGAAGTCGACGATTTTACAGCTCATTTTTAGAATTGGGCTCTCTATCGCGCAGCTCATCTATACAAGTAGACACTTTCTCTTAGCTCGTGTATATAAGTTGTTTCTCTCTCTTTCTCTCCATCCTTACCTCATGTATATTAATATAGTGTCTCTCTCCTTTTTTAGTTTGTCTATGAAATGAGGAATCTCTCTTAAAGTAGACTCTCCCCCTCTCTATCTCTCCCTGCTCGTATATAGAAGTAGAATCTCCATCTATCAATTTGTCTATAGAAGTAGTCCTTCTCTCTCTTAGCTCTTTTATAGGAGTAGACTCTCTTCCTTGCAACAAAATAATGTTTGGGCCTCATTAAAAAATCTAAAATATTCCCTATGGCCCAGTTAAATATTCAAAAACTCCATTATATGGGTTTCCTCTACCACATTTGACCCCATATACATATATCTGTGTCCCTGCCCCAGGTATGTCATATTAATTTCATATTTCTTTATTCTCGAAAAAAAAAACAAACAATTTCTTTTCCTTGTGCCATTCTTTTGTTATTCTAGGATAGAAAAATAATTTTACCCAAATGACTTTAAGTTAAAATGCCATTAAGAATGCCATAAAGAAATCAAATAAACATTACCATTCACAGTCCATGAACATTCTTAATTTGTGACATTTCCTTGGACATGGCCATCAAGACGTGAGGGGAGGGACAGGGGAGTTGTTTTTTCCCAAATCCATTTGTTGCTGGCTTGGCCCTTGGGCAAACAAAAAACTGGGCATGAAGATGATTCCTTTTTTTCTTGACTTCAACTCTTTCAGTTTCAGTAATGGCCAGACTTAAATTC